TCGATTTCTATCGCTGGCAGAAGAAGATGCACTTCCTTCTCACAACTTTGAAAGTCATGTATGTCCTGAGCACTCCATGCCCCGAGGAAACCGAAGATAAAACTCTGGAGGCAACGCATCACATGAGCAAATGGGAGAATGATAACTACATTTGTCGTGGTCATATTCTAAATGCAATGTCTGATCCATTTTTTGATATTTATCAAAATATGGATTCAGCCAAGGAACTTTGGGAGGCACTCGAATCTAAATACATGGCTGAAGACGCTTCGAGTAAGAAATTCTTGGTAAGTGAGTTCAACAACTACAAGATGGTTGATTCGAGGCCTGTGATGGAGCAGTACAACGAGCTCCTTCGGATCCTTGGTCAGTTCATGCAGCACGACATGAAGATGGATGAATCCATTGCTGTTTCATGCATCATCGACAAGTTGCCGCTTGCATGGAAGGAAATTGAGCGAACGCTTAAACACAAGAAGGAAGAATTAACACTTGTAGAACTCGGTAGCCATTTGCGTATAGAAGAATATATAAAAGTACAAGAGGGTAGTAAAGGCAAGGATATTTCCGGACCTTCGGTAAACATGATTGATGAACGAAAGAAAGACAAGTCCTCAAAAGAAGGCCATACTAAAAAATGCAACTTTAATGATTCTAACAAAGGTGTCAACAAGAAAGCCAAGATGGCCTGCTGGATTTGTGAAAAATTTGGGCACCTTAAACGCGACTGTCGTGTTGGAAAATGAAGCCGAGGTGCTAGCACTAGGAAAGGGGGAAAGGGATCAAATGATCCTTCCCAAAACCAAGGTCCGGATTTAGTGAATATTTGTAACAATTCGATTAAACATGTTATATTACTAATTTCTGAAGCATTTTATGTGCAGGATGACATGTTTGCTTGGTGGGTAGATTCCGACGCCACGTCACATGTATGTAAAGCTTGCTGCTGGTTCAAGGATTTTCTTCCGGTGAATGATGGATCCGTGTTATATATGGGGGACAATCACTATGCTCCAATTATTGGACAAGGAAAAGTGACGCTAGAATTTAGATCTAGGAAAAGTATTACTTTATGTAATGTTTTATATGTGCCCAAGTTACGTAAAAACTTAGTTTCGGGTCCTGTATTAAATAAGTCCGGTTATAAACAAGTATTTGAGTCGGACAAGTATGTGTTGTCTAAACATGGTGTATTCGTAGGATTTGGTTATTACAACCATGGTATGTTTATGTTAAATTTGGTTAATATACCTTGTGTTTCTAATGCTACTTGCATGGCTTCCAATTCAAAAGATGATTCATTCATGTGACATGCTAGACTTGGACATGTGCATTATAAAAGAATGCTAGATATGTAAAGTGGATTTAATTCCTGCAATTGATGTTACGACAAACAAGTGTAAGACTTGTGCTTTAACAAAAATCACTAAGAAACCATTTATAGGGATCACTCGAAAATTTGAAATTCTTGAGTTGATCCATAGTGATCTCTGCGACTTTCATTCAACACCATCATTGGGAAATAAAAAATATAACGTCACTTATATAGATGATGCGACAAGGTACTGCTACGTATATTTTTTGCATGCAAAGCATGAAGCTTTGGAAAAATTCAAGGTTTATAAAACTGAAGTTGAATTACAGCTTGGTGCGTCAATTAAAACGCTGTGTACGGATCGAGGAGGAGAATATCTTGACTCTCCCTTCTTTCAAGCTGTTGGAATAATCCATGAGACCACGGCTCCTTATACACCTCAACAAAATGGTGTAGCCAAAAGGAAAAACAAGACATTGAAAGAGATGGTAAATTCCATTGTGTATTTTTCGGGTTTGAATGAAGGATTTTGGGGAGAAGCCATGCTAACGGCCTACTTTATATCAAATAGGGTCCCTAACAATCGAAACAAAGTCACTTCCTAAGAGCTTTGGCACAAGAAGCGGCCTAACTTAACATACATACGAATATGGGGCTGCAGAGCAATTGTTCGTGTTCCTGAACTTAAAAGAAAGACTTTAGGTAAAAAAGAAATTGACTGCATTTTTGTAGGATATGCCGAGCACTCAAAATCATATCGGTTCTACGTTCTGGAACCAAATGATTATGTCTCTGTACACTCAATCATTGAATCACGTGATGCAATCTTCGATGAAGAACATTTTACGTCGATGCCTAAGCCTTCATCTAGTGTCAAATCCACCAGATATGGTGAGCATGAGAGTGATGAACATCTGGACATGACCTTAGATGAAAATGAGGAAGAAAATCAAAATATTGATGAAAATAATCAACCGGCTGAACTTCGAAGAAGTAAAAGGGCTAGAAAACCAAAGTCCTTTGGTACCGACTTTCATCTTTATTTAGTTGAAGGGTCGGGAGACAAGTTTGAATCTTTATATCAATATTGTTGTAATTTAGAAAAAGATCCAAAGACATATGAAGAAGCCATGAGATCTCGGGATGCTTCCTTTTGGAAGGAAGCTATTAATGACGAGATGGACTCTATTTTAGAAAACAACACTTGGGTGCTGTCGGATTTATCTCCGGGATGCAAACCTTTGGGCTGTAGATGGATTTTCAAAAGGAAAATGAAATCTGATGGAACCGTTGACAAATTTAAGGCTCGATTGGTCATCCAAGGATTTAGACAAAACGAAGGTATCGATTACGTCGATACATATGCACCGGTTGCTCGAATCACTACTATAAGATTGTTGATTGCTTTGGCTGCAATTCATAATCTTATTATCCATCAAATGGATGTTAAAAAGGCATTTCTAAATGGAAATTTGGGGGAGGAAGTATACATGAAGCAACCGGAAGGTTTTGTTGAACCGGGAAACGAAGATAAGGTGTGTAAGCTTGTTAAATCATTATATGGCTTGAAAAAAGCTCCGAAACAATGGCATAAAAAGTTTGATGAAGTTGTTATGTCAAATGGTTTTTTTTAAACCAATCAGACAAGTGTGTATATAGTCGATTTGACAATAATGGAAGATAAGTCATCATTTGCTTATATGTTGATGACATGCTGATCTTCGGCACAAATCAAAGCAAGATAGATGAAACCAAAATGTTTCTCGCATCTAAGTTTTCTATGAAGGACTTAGGAGCTGCTGATGTAATTCTCAGAATTAAAATTATTCGAGAACACAAGGGAATTACAGTTACACAATCACATTAAATTGAGAGCATTCTTAAGAAATTCAATTGCGAAAATTGTACTCCAGTTGGTACACCTTGAGATCCTAGTGTGAAACTTAAGCCTAACACCGGGAAACCCGTCTCCCAACTTGAATACTCGAGGGCCATAGGTAGCTTGATGTATGCTATGACTTGTACAAGGCAGGATATTGCTTATGTCGCGGGAACATTAAGTCAATTTACTAGTAAGCCTAGTATACATCATTGGAAAACACTTGAAAGAGTATTCCAGTACTTAAAATCGACTGTAAATTATGGCTTGTCATATGTTGGTTTTCCGTCTATAATGGTAAGTCTCGACACATAGGTGTGAGACATAGCATGATTCGTGATTTAATCATGAAAGGGGTGATATCGTTGAGTTTATTTGGTCGGAACATAATTTAGCCGATTGTTTGACAAAAGAGTTGGCGAGAGACTTAGTACACAAGTCATCGATTGGGATGGGATTGAAGTCTATTAAATCTGCCTAGTGTGAGACACTCAATTCCCTTCTAGTATGACGCTAGAAGCTGAATTCAATGTGGAAAGCTCATATTGGGAAGATTAGAATGCATTTAATTCAAACATCCCGGGTATGCGTTCAAACCTGCAAGAACCATAGGTTGAGATCATATATCTTAACAACTCATTTGAAAAATTGCTTATGCAGGAGCGAGACTAAAGGAGCTACATATACGAGCATGAAGTTTTGCCGCTTAAAGAAAGTTCGGACTTGCTTTCGATGTGCTTGCGAATGGATATAGACATATGGCTTGAAAAATGTCATGTTAGAACCAAGGGAATTGTAAATTCGTGTGTACTTTGCCTACATGTATTCAAATAAGTTGAAAGGGTTCAATCCTTAGTGACACCTTGTTCTCGAATATTTGTAATGTATATTGTACTAATGTGAAAATTCAATCTTCGTGACATTCTTGTTTATGCATGGATTTTTTGTGTATGTTTGTGATTTAATTTGTGAATAAATCAAGGATTACACTAAAATGGGGGAGGATTGTTGGTAATTTTAGCGTAATTGGATTTATTCGAGACCAATAAATGATTGGGATTAAGTGAACTTCGGGATGGGATGCGTGGAGTGCGTACTCGAAGAAGCTAATTTTGACATGATTTTGACAAGTAACACAAATTTTGGGACATATTGTTGATACCGCTTTAGTCATGGACATGACTGTCTACAAATCTGAAAGTTCTGTAATTAAATTTATGGGACAAAATGTAATAGCTAACTTAGTCATGGCCATGACTAAGTGGTACAGGCTATTCTGGAATTTTCTAAAATTTAAATTTTAAAATTGTGTTTATTTATGAATTAATGTGTCTAATATTATTTAAATTATGAATTCAAACTTTTTTTTTAATTGAATCAATACATTATTTTATTTTGAATTCAAATTAATATTTAAAATGAAAGAATACACTCATTCTTTTTTAAACTGAAATTTAAATTGAACATTTGTGTTTGTTTAATTTAAATAAAATGTTACTTATGATCTGGTCCCATTTGCAAAGATAAGAAAAAGAGATATCAAAACAAGAAAAAACACATTAAGTATTTTTATTTCTGTAAAAAATTATTATCTCCATACTCATTTATTCCCTATTTTTACTTTGCCTCTGATATTTTTTATCAGAATTGGAGATCGATCTCCATACTCATTTTATTATCTATTTTTACTTTGTCTCGATATTTTTTTACCAGAATTCAATATCAAACTTTATATTATTCCAAAACGAATTTTCTATAACTCTCAATAGAAATTGGATCAAAATATCATATTAAAAAATTGAGCTCGATATAGAGGTATATCCGACCATTTTCGTTCATAACCCAATAAAATCCCCAACAACTCTTCCTCTTACTCTTCCGGCGGCCGGAAAGCTCTCTGCAGCAGTTGGTCCTCTTCGTTACTACGGCGGCGGCGGAGGTGTGAGAAACTTGTAAGCTCAGTATCTCACTTCTTTTACGCTTAAAAAGAGAAGCTAATTGTGAGAACCTTCCATTTCATCGCGAGATGAACCCACCCTACAGTACGGACAGGTTTCGAAACACTGGTTGCCTCTCATTTAACATCTCCCAAATGCAGACTCAGCTTCAAGCTCAAACGCTCTCTCGTTGTCACTACGGCGTTCTCTCAGCGTACCGCACCAGATCTCGCCTCGATCATCTCATCCTGCGTCTGCTCTTACAATCGGAACAATTGTTGGAGTTCTTCCTTCAATTTTGGGGTAATTCAGTTGAATACAGTGAGAATGGCTTCGGTTAGTTCTGCTTTCTCAAGTTGCCGTAGCAGCAGCAGCAGCAACAGGAAAGCTGATTCCGTTGGATTAGACAATTGTGACCTCGACCGCTTCGCCGACGTAGGCAACCAGGTCTCTCACGCCAGCGGTGAAGTCATTCGCCTGTACTTCCGGATAAGCTTGGACATTCTCGATAAAGAGGATTTGAGTCGGTTTATTTCTTTCGCTTTTCAACTTTCGGTATAATTATTCTTTGTTTAATTGAGAAATAAGTAGTAAAATTTGTTGTGTTTGTTCCCTTGGTTGTTGAGCTTGTAATAAAATAATGCTGCTAGGTCCCGTAACAATTGCCGATCGAGCAGCGGAGGAGGCCATGGTGAAAATCTTACAAGTGAATTTTCCTATGCATACAATGTGAGTCAGTACTTTTCAAAGTTAATAAATCATTTGTCAATTACTTGTGTTTATTCTTCTTGCTTGCTTTCAGTAAGTTGTTTGTTGGTTTTCCTTGGATGCTGTTGTGATGTTGTTAACATAATTATCCATCAATAAAGATTTGTAATCTTCTATCACGGACATGTAATTTTGGGATGGGGGCTTTCCGAATGATTATTTGTGTTTCTGTTTGCAAAACTTATTTGCTCTTGATTATTCTTATATTCCTAGAGGGAAATTTATTGTTAAAAAATTTCCTAACAATGCTTCGTGGTCTGAAATGCATATATATTGACACAGATCATATGCGATACTACTAGAATCTGCAAATCTCGGTTCAACAATAAATGAAACAAAAATTTCACTATAGATAGATGAAGGACATACATCTTTTTGGGATAAGTTTGGATTATATTTTGTTTATTATATATATTCTCCTTAATTCAATTCACTATCTGCAAAATGGATATTTCTTGAAAGTTCAAGAAAATAGATGAAATGGAAAGATTCATCAGGTTTTCGTGCCCCAAATATACTTTTAAATGGGAGAAGATCCATCCATCAGGACTCATCCTAACCAATTTGATGTAATTGTGTTATTTCGATATCTAAAAGGAAAAATTATTTCCAACTTCAGCCATGGAGAGGAGAATGGATGGCAGTGCAAAGAAAATCGGGCCCTTTGAACTAATTACCTTCACTACCGTGGATCTTCTTTCCGGGTCCCAAATTATTCGATCAACGTAATAACTACTCATGATAGTAATTACTAATAAGACTACAGCATTCACTGATACTAATATCAACCATAAAACTCTATATTCAACTTAACAATATTCTGGCTATATGAGAGCCATGAAAGTTCCTAATGTTCCAAATGAAACAAGTACCCTTGACTGGTAAGCCTATAGCTTTGTCATGGATATTTGCTCACCAATGTAATTTTTGAATTCTGTCGGACATACCCCGAATAGAGTACCAATTCTTTGATAGCATTGGATGGGTAAAATGGATTGGGGTTGACATCCATTATGAGTAATTGATTACCCTCTCAAAACATCAATTGTTGATTAAGCGAGGATGGCACACAATGCGAGATAAATATCTAATCTCTCCCTAATAACACTGAATATATGGTGTCTGCATCCACGACAAAGAAAGCTGTTGTGATTGTCTTTGGTCCCCCCTCAATGGGTGCGACCATCACGAAGAAAATCGTTGAAATCGTCTTTGGTTCCATCACAATGTAAGGCAAGTATCTAATCTCTCCCTCAGTACTCATTGGTTGACTTGTAAAACTTGTCATCTCAATATCTATAGAAGTTAGATCGGCCACCCCTTTCCCTAATTTTTGGAGGGTCTATAATGGTTAAAATCTGTCCCATTATCCACGAAAACCTTGCCAACTGACTTTCCAAAAATATGAACATTGACATAAAGAGGCTTGAGATATGGGATTGCTTCTTCTAGAATGGGAGCAAAGACAACTGGAAGGTGTGTTTGGGTCTGAATATGACGGTGCCAACAAGGCCTATTCTAACTCTTCATTGTTTCATCTATGAATCAAGCCCAAATTGGCTTATTCTCACATAAATGCATTCCTAATACTCTAATATGGAAAGGATGTTGGGTACTTGGTGAAGGTTTTGCAGTATCCCCGTTCGCCAAGTTGATCTTGGCATAGTCTCTTGTTGGATCATGAGGGCTCTAACTTCCCGTGTTTCGGAGAATTCCTCTGTCTGAGGATTGATGTTGATATGGCTACAAAATTAACATCATAATTTTTTTAGCCTTTTTGGATATTACATTTGATCTTCATTTATCTTTTGATCTTCTTAACAATCCTTAAGTTTGTCTAGGAATCAATTGAGATTTTAAACTAGGGTCGAAGGTCCGAATCGTGCTTCATTCTATTATTAACGCTACTTATGTCTGATCATCATCCTTGCATCGTTGCATACTTACGCTTAGCATTCCGAATATGAGTATGATTCAAACTTGGGAATTTGGGGTCAACAGCAATTGGTAGCAACTTTATGTTACGGCTCCATTTGTTGATTTCGAAAACCTGAGGCGTTCATGTGGCTTTTTCTCATACCATGATCTCATCCTTGAGCTTTATTTCATAATTCTCATATGGTTTATCCTACTTTTCGGCCACTCGATTCGGACATGCCCCAAGTGTCTCTCCCTTTTGTATTCTTCGTAACCTCTGGTATGCTTCCCTCTAATTTTTTGCACTTGGTCAGGTGGCCATGATGGCCACAGTCATTTTTGGAAATGATTGTTGCTCCACCACTAAAGTAACATACTTCAATCGGCCACTTTTTTACGACCCTTTGAATTTTCTTTTCTGACTCATATTGTGAGTAAACAAATTGTGTCACTTACAATAAGGTATTCCCTTGATTTCATCTTTGGTTTCCAACCGTTATCCCTTGATTATGCAAATCTGGCCATCGGCTAACAGGATATAAAAAATGTCATCCGCTTTAGAAGTGTCGAAGGTCAGTTGATATTTATTCTCCTCCGATCTTGGGATAGGTTTTAGTTTGGAGCAAACACTCGGTTTTTCTTTTATGATTTCGGCTGCCATTTCCTCCACTTTCCCAGGATGGCCTGAATTCGGTATGTAAGCCTCCATATCCATGCTGGTCACTTGTTGTATCTTTCCCATTCTCATATTATGATCATTTTCCTTGAACAGAGCTTCTAATTGGCTTGACTTTCAGGCTAACTAGGCCAAATTCTCGATGTCATGAGCAATTAGAGCTTCCCTTAAATGGGCATGCATGTTTCGAACCACCAGATTTGTCATCTCAACTTCATTGATAATTGTCAGACACCGCCCTTTCATGAACCAAAATCGTTCAATGAAAATACAATTAATCGGATAAAATACAAAATTTGAAGCAAAATTGTCCATAATTTCCTTGTGATTTTGAAATTCAGCGTAAATCCTCCATTTACTTTAAAAATTTTGTAGCGCTGATTTTATTTTAGAAAAACGTTGTATGAAACGCTTCTGTGGTTTCGAAACTCAATGTAAATCCTCACATTACTTTAAAAATTGTTTAACGTCCTCTTATACTTTAAAAAATATTGCACGTTACATGAAACCCCTCTGTTGTTTCAAAACTCAATGTAAATCCTCACATTACTTTAAAAATTGCACGACGTCTCCTTATACTTTAAGAAATATTGCATGAAACCCCACGTCATGCAAAAAATATTAGAAAATTTTAAAGTATAAGAGGGTGTCATGCAATTTTTAAAGTATAGAGACTTTACTGCAATTTGGCCTGGTCCATGAGCCCCAAAGGCTAGTCTTGACTATATATATATATAAAAGCACAATTGTCCACGCCAAGTTAGTCAATCTCCAATTGAGCCCAATTCAACCAATTAATTATCTAATCCTAAATAGATTACATTGTATTTAAGAATGATGGAATCTCTTTGTTTTTTCAACGTGGGATAATATCCTTCACATTCTTTTTCTTCTTTCATCTTTCACCTTCACACACCAATATGAGGTTTATTAATTTTTGTATTTTTAGATATATGTATTGTTTAGGAATTTGAATTTTCAATTGAAATTTGAATAGTTATATGATATGATATAAATAGGTATTGGTATGATATTTTAAATATAAAATTAGTTTTTAGTATAATACTCTCTCCGTCTATTTATAATTGTCCTAAAGTATATTTGCACGATTTTTTAGGTAATTGTCTTTTTTGTATGAATTGACAAATTTTTATCCTTTATGATAAGGTAGAGATTAAAAGTGCTACATAAATGAAGGGTAAAAAAATAAAATTTGTGTTTAAAAAATGAAATAGAACAATAGTTATTGGGCATCCCAAATAACAAAATAAGACATTAGTTTGTGGACGGAGAAAGTATAAAAAAATAAAAATTAAATATTTGATTTAATATTTTTGTAGATAAAAAAATAATAAATTATAAAAATTCTAGGAAAAAAGAACACAAGTGAACAAACCCATGACAACTTTGTTCTTTTTCCTAACATAATTGAAACATTTTATTAGTGACGCAATATTTAAAAAATATTTAATTAGCTATTAATAGTGATTTATAATTTATTTTAATTTGTTATGTAATTAATAATATTAATAGTTTTAAAATAAATTTAATATATATGATTAATAAAAATTAGAATATATATTTAAATATTTAAAAATTATATCGCTATAAAAAATATATGGAATATGGATGTCATTTTGCAAAGAATAAAATTCTCTATAATGCAAATAAATAGAGAAACACATTTATTTATTTATAATTAGCATAAACTAATTTTATAAAAAATGTGAAATTTTAAATGTAGATAATAATATATATTTTTTGTAGGCAATATATAGAAATACAAGGGTTTTGAGTGATCTTATATGATTTATAATATTATATATTATCTAGTTAGTTAAGTTGATTTATATTTGTTAAAATATATTTTGATTTAGTAAATTTTATCCAAAATAAACAAATATCAATTATTATGGGACAAATAAAAATAAAAAATATCAATTATTATGGAATAGAGAGTATTTATTATTTATAATTTTAAAAATATTATATTTAATATTTATATTTTAAATAAAATATCAAACTAACTAATTACTCCCTCCGTCCCACGTACCATGTCCACGTTGCCGTTTCTGTCCGTCCCACATACCAGGTCACTTTCCTTTTTTGGAAAATGATTACACACTTTAATCTCATTTTAAACTTTTTAATTTTTTTAAATTTTAATTAAACTAATTAGTTATCTTAATCTTAATTTATAATTATTTATATTATAGAATAATTATTTTTATTAATATATTCTTAATTATCTACTAATTACACCTCTTCTAAAATACCGTATTTACAGTATAGTAGGTACGGTATACGGGACGGAGGTAGTATTATTTTTCTCAAATATTAAAATAAAAACACAAAAGAGGAATCCTCTCTCAGTTAAGTAATTTTGTCAAATAAAAAAACTACGTCCACGTCCACTCATATATATTGCAAACAAAAAATCTGTTAGTAAGTCATGTAAGAGATGGCTAGTGGTGTGGAAATAGACTTATGATCATTACAAAAGATTAATATAATAATGATACAATCAATAATCAATAATACTACCTTCATCCCTTAATAAGAGTACCA